ACAACTTCTTGCATCTGGATACTGCAAACATGAAAACAAATTATACAGTAGTTGTTAATAAATTAAACTCATAAATAAATTATCAATTTTATATTTCGACATTAATTACAAGAGCTTCTTGTTATATTGCACATGTCCAGAGACAAAGAAAAGTATGGTATATCCAATTACATGATATAACGAAGTAATAAAAATTCTAAGCATATATTAAACAGAGAATAAAGATTCCGTAGTGTGTATAATCTATTTTTTTTGTGCGCCAGTGTTTCTGGTATAAAATAAACTTGTGTGAGGCCCCAGAAATAGCCCCCAAAAAAAGAAAGATATGTAAAAATTTGTTAAGTTAAACCATCAAGAAAACAAATTATATGTGTCGAACTGGCGACACCAGACTTTGACACTCATCAAGAGTAGACAGAAAAACAAAATTTTAGATATAGAAAAAGAAAATTTAAAAGTTAAGATGCAGTTTAGAAAGCAAAATGAAACTAGCAAAATATCAAAATGAGTGTAGGTGTCATAGTCAACGATTAAATGCAATCAGTCTAAAAGATGATGTCAAATAAACCATCTCCAGCTGACCTTTCCCACGAACTATATGAAGCTCCATTTATACCTGGAGACAGGTGGAAGACCAATTAGAAAGCGATGAGGAAAAGTCTGTCCAATTAGCAACAAGTCAATCTCGAAAAACTTATAAAAACACCGATTCCAAGGACAAAAGAGGCTTCCACCTAGACTACCTGTTGTGTTCGTTTGCCTCCAGCTGTCATACTTCCTTTCATTTTTCGTGTGTTGTCACTTCAGATCTCGAACTTTTCACACAATGCAGCCATGAGGTCCCTCCAGCATAGGACCAGATTGACTCTGAAGACAACCCAAAAAGTTCTGAACTTTTGGGTTGTCCTTTGCCAAAAACCTTTGCCAAAAAAATATGTAAGCATTTTCGACCAGAATAAATGGTTTCTCTGTGAAACACTTGTCTTTTGCTGCCTCTTAAAACCACCACCCACATACGCGTAGACCTTAGAGCTATCCCAACTGTAGGGAATAAAATCTCCCCCCCCAATCGGTGTTCTTACACTTATTACATTACTAAACAGAAACTTACCATCTAATTGAGTATCTTCCACTATTTCATTCCATTTTGTATATACAGGGTGTATTTTTTATCTTAAGACAATGAAATAACTTAATTGGATCTCGTTATATTGGAAAAAGCTATAGACAAAAATTGTAGGGTGTCAAGGGGCCAATCAATTGGTGACTGCGACCTTCAAGGTCATTTGGAGGTCAAGTCTGTTTTCTTCAATGGGAACATATTTTTGACCCTGGAAACGGAAAGAGCAAGAAATTTCACAACCGAAAATGTACCTTTGACCTTATTGTCTAGGTCAAAAGTCAAGATTATTTTAAGGTTAAAATTATAAGCTTTTTCTGATAGGAAACCATACTTTTTATTACTGGAATAGGCAGGGAGGTCAAAGTTACATTTTTTTCATAACCTGATTACTTTGAACTTTAAAAGCATTCACTACTTTTAGCACTACCAAGGAGTAACGATGTGGATGTAGTAGTTTTCTGCTCCCTTTGAGGTGCTTATTTTCAGTGAGTCTCCTGGCCTCTCACTATCATGGTGCTTGTTTTCGGTGAGTCACTTTACTTCTTACCATTGAGATGCTGGTTTGGGGGAAAATTTTATAACAAATGTTCAAAATGATGCCCTTCCACTTTAATGCATTTATTGAGCTGCACTTACAATTATCACACTTGAGATGATCTTCAGAGGTCAAATTTGGGGTACTCAAGGTCATGGCTGATTGTGAAATTTCTCGTTATTTCCATGTAAATGTAACTTTTACCTCAATGCCTATTCCACTAATGAAAAGTATGGTTTCCCATTAGAAAAAGCTTATAATTTTAACCTTAAAATAATATTGAATGTACTTTTGACCTTTGACCTAGGTCAAAAGTACATTCAGTTGTGAAATTTTCTGCTCTTTCCATTGCCAGGGTCAAAAATATGTGCTCCCATTGAAAAAAACAGACTTGACCTCCAAATGACCTTGAAGGTCAATGTCAAGGTTACATCTGAGATCACCAATTGATTGGCCCCTCGACACCCTACAATTTTTGTCTATAGCTTTTTCCAAAATAATGAGATCCAATTAAGTTATTTCATTGTCTCAAGATAAAAAATATAGCCTGTATAATATTTCAATTCCTATGATCAGGAAGATACTTATCCCAATTTCTGGGTGTAAATAAACATTACTTATCAATTTTTATTTTATGGCTGCTGAACTTGGTTTTTTTAATGGCTGTGAACTTGGTGTTTTTAATGGCTGTGAACTGGTGAGATGTGAGAAATCCTGTCAGATATATGCGAGAACCAGAAATTCGCTCTCACCAGTGAGATTTCTTGCTTCTTGCTTGTGCATGGTTTCCCTTTGCGAGAACTATATCACTCGCAACCTCTCGCTCGCTACTAAATTTGCGTCTGCATAGTCGCACCATTAGAGTATGCTGGTTGCTTTGCTGCAAGTGATCAGGCACTACTGATTTTGGAATGCTCAGATTTCTTGCTGAAGCATGGTAAATTTTACACTTCAATATGAGCATTTTGTTTTCAGGAAGCCTATGATTAAAAATGTTTTTTATACATCTTTATTTTATAGTTATGTAATAATAATTTAATGTATTAATTAATAGCACCTGCAAGTCCTCTTTCTAAGTGCTGACTAAATAGATGGACAATGTGCCTCATAAGGAAGTTGTTAATCCTATTTACATCTCACTTGTCATCCTTTGACAAAAACTCAACATTAAGAGAACCAAAAAAAAAAAAAATTGCCAATTCTTCCAGTTTTGTTATTTTGGCTTTACAAAAGAAATGATCGAGTCAGTTTTGTGCATGTTTTCTGTATGCTTCAAGCAGACTGGCATGGTAATTAAATGGCACTTTCGTTCAGCTGAGAAATGTGCTCCTTTTTATGTCAAACCAAATATTTTGCAGTTCTTTTGTTAAATCTTCAAATGTAAGACAGCTACTAAAATAGAAAGGTGTGGTAGTGATGACACCATCTTCACGCAACCACCCCCATCATCAACCATTATCAACATTTAGTCCTCTCCTCCTGGAGTTAAGTGATGTAATATAGGGACCACTTCTTGGCACAACAGAATATTTTTGTATCATAGATTTAGCAATTTTGGCACACACAATTACAAATGTTGCTCACTCCTGCCTAGGGTTAAGGCTTAACCTACATCTCTGGGAGACCCAGGATTGAATCCAGATGAGCATTCCCTGGAGTTTTCACAGGGAGTGGTCTGTTCCACAGAGCCCATCCTTCAATAATGATTGCCACATTGTGGAGGTTGCCTGTAGAAAGTTCCTGTTAATGCCCACAGGACAGAATCAAAAAATGAGAGATCTGCCACTCAGAGAGCAATTTCTTTACTTGCTCCATCCTATGGGCATTAAGTGAACCTTTTCTTCACTGCAACAAATATATTAAAACATCTTTTCAATTTAGATACTGTATTAGACAATGTATTCTAAAATTGTTTTAACAGATAAAAAATTTTTTCCTATAATCAAATGTATTTTTAATAAACCATTAGTTTTCATAATGCTTAAATGTTTTTTCCTCTCTGCAATCTATCTACATTCTGAAGCACTCTCACTTAAGCATAGTAAATATCAGTAATTTAAAGGTTTGCTAATTGTATAAAAGTTTAATAATTTGATACACATGTAATGAATGAACTTTATTCATTCTATTATTACAGCTTTCAATGCATTAATGCAAAGTGTATTCTTCAGAATATACAACATTTTTTTTTCTTTTTTATTTTGTAATTTACCATATTTATAACAACAAATTTATAAGAAATGTTTTATAAATTGCATTTAGAAACTGCTTTAAGTACTGGAAAATTCCTCAGTACATTTTCAAATAAATAAAGAAACCACACATTTAACTCTTTAATATAATAAAATTATTTATCCTTTNAATAGCAAACAAAGATTCTTCTAATTTTTGATTCTTTAAAAATATATAGCATTTATTAAAGCTATTTTTAACTATATCTTTTAATATTAATCCCTTAAACTTAAAAATAATTCACTAGTTGTAAATCAACTGGAATAAAAACGTCATTTTTTAAATAAAATCTTCAGTTGTAATTTATATTTATGTTAACTTTTTGTGTCTACATCAAATAATATCAAGTTTATTGTTACCATTACAATTTTCACATTACACTACAAAACTAAAAATGCTCCACAAATTTATTTTAATACCATTTTAAATAAAATATGATTATTTTTGTGATAAATGTATTTAAGATTACAACATAATAACTACCAAATATTTTACTTTTCATATTTAAATATTGTAAAATAGTACCTAGCGAGACAAAAACAAAATATTTATCAAATTATTTAAAATAAAATGATATAATTTTTTCTTGTACCTAAATGAAAAAAAAATCTTCTCCAGGATAAATTTAATGTTATTTTTATATGACTTTTTTATTGTCAGTTGAATGCTGATCTAAAGTTTCTACTTTGCTCAATTTTCAACAGTGAAATAATCTAATACAAAGGACAAATTATTTTTATTCCCACTGTATGAAATAAAAGAATAAAAAGTGGTAATAAAAAACTGATTTAATAACAAGTAAAGTCTGCTACTGTTTATTATATCAAATTATTTTACTGTTGAAAATTGGAATATGGAGACTGGATCAGCATTCAACTGATAATAAAGTCTTATATAAATAATTTAAGCTTATTAAATAAGCTTAAAGTTATTAAGTACAGTTTTTAAGTATGTAGGTCCTGTCTTATGCCTATTTAAAATTGTCTAAACATGACAGCTATTATATTTAAATAAAAAAAAGCATATATATATATATTTAAATAAAAAAGCATATATACTATTTATATATATATATATATAGTATGCAATGAAGATGCTCAAGGAACTTACAAGGAACCTTAGTGATGATGATAACATTCACTATAATTTCTGCTAAAATTAAAATGATTGCTGCAATCCATAGATAATTTGGATTCAAAATTATGTTTTTCTCAGCGAATTCTTTCTTTATAATTCTCCATAATTTCGTTTTCGCTTTCTGCAAGCTTTTCTTCGACATTTCCACGTCGATATACGGACAGCAAGGGGGCTGCCATCTTGGATGTTACGAAGAGGCGAAACAATCCATAAAAAATAAAAAAAGGAAAAAATATATATATAAATTGTGTTTATTATTTTATTGTTTTAGAAAAGTTTTATTTGATATTCAATGTAAAATGTCTTATTTAAATATTTAATTATTGCAATTGAAACTATATTTTTTCGGTATTTTCAATCAACCAAGATGGCGTCTAACTGTAGATCATTTGTCTGTAATAATAATTCTAATTATTAAAGTTAAGACAAGTCAGACAAAGTCGAACAAAGGGGAGTAGAGGGGAGAGGTTGAGCTCTTCTTCCCCTTGTCCGACTTGTCTTAACCATTACATTAAATTTTACAAAACATTATATTTTATGCAGTTTATGCCTTTCATTATATGTATTTCAAAAATTGTTGTATATTTTTGAACATCGTTTCTATTATGGTATCTATCATTCATAATGTCATAAGGGCTTTGTTGAACGTCCGAAGAGGAGAGGGGTTACAGAAACTTCGTAAAACTGTGACCAGAGAAGGAGGGAACGTAAAAATTTCAAGAAAAATGCAGACATAATTTATGGATATCCCATAGTGTTCAAGCATATCCTAACTCTACGTGAATTGATTATAGCAGCTCGTGTCTGTGAGGACGAGTAAAAGATTTAGATATCGAACACTAAAAAACGTCGAAAAGATTAAAATTATTATATATAATAAATAGAGATTTTATTATAATATTCTTTTGTAAAAGGAATTAAAACAATCATTTTTGAATTAGAAATTTGCAATTCAGATTAGAATAGGAATATTTCTTAATTAATGCAAGTTCTATTTTCACAGCAGTCGCTCTTTTTCTTTGCATAATGGAAAATTTCAAAGAATTGAAGAAGTGACACACCTCGGGCCATGCCGAGGCCGAAGATTGCGCCTGGTCATTACCTCGTGTGATTCGGGTGCTTCCGAAAGATGCGGAGGAAGAGTCGCATACACCCGACGTCAAAAGGGCAGTCGTCTTAACTCCGGACGACAGCGCCTCCTCTCTCGTCCATTATTTGGAGCAGCGAACCCCGAAGTTCCGGAATGGAAGTCGAGACTGGTCACCTGAGACGAGACTTGACAGAAAGGAGTCCGAAGAAATGGTGGAAAAAATCCGTCGAGCGTAAAAGGCCTTGGTGGAAAAGATTGTTTGGCTGCTGGAAAACAATCTTTTCTCTGCCGAGGTCTTGTGCGGATTTCGACTTTCCACCGAATGTGACACTTTCACTCGGAATTGACCTTTCACCCGGCTATTTAATCGACTGGACTTTCCGTCCGAATTTACGGACGGATACTTCGACACCTTTCGAGATTCCTTCCTCCACTTCGGTTAAAGTACATAGAACATCGACAGTGACGTCTATCGTAGCCAAAGTGACAACGAAACATAAACAGTGTTCTCGTGTTTAATAAAAGACTGTGTTACGCTGTTGTTTAAACGACTATAACTGGTAATGGCAACTTGTAATGTTTCGACCGGTGTTCTACTAGTAAAATATTTCATCACAGAATAATGCACTACGAGAGGAAACCATTTCCACGTTGAACTTTAACCAAACCCACCTTGCAGTCGATGTGTGTTCAGACCAAAATTATAATTACTCTAATAATTAAATTTGTACATGGAATTTTTACGATTGTATATAAAGTTTCATATTTAATAAAACTTATTAAGCTTCATATTAACTGTTTAAAGATTAAATATTTATCAAAATATTAACATTGAGCATTTTTGGATTAATAACAATGTCATTCTGCTAATATGCATATACAGCAAAGGATTACTTCTCTCCACTACAAACAAACAGAACCAACAAAAGCTAAAACACAAAAGCAACAACACGGAATAAAACACAAAACAAAAAACAAAAAAAAATGTAATGTCCAAATAGTTTAATTAAAAGTAAAACAATTACAATAGTACAATAATATTTTAACACTAAGATTTGTAAGATTTAACATCATAATAGAAAAGAAATTCTACGTTTAAAAGTGAAGACATCGCGATTTAAAAAACCGTCTAGAGCTCTAGACTAATGTTTTTCAACCTTTTTGAATACGCGACCCCTTTAGAAGTTAAAAAATTCTGGAGACCCCCAGGGCCATATTAAAACTATATCAGTGATTTTAAAAACTACGTATTTAATTTTCTTTCTGTTGAGACTTAAATATCGATCGAAAAACCAATAAACAGGTACAGCCTTCTCACTGAAATTGTAGTTTTTTTTATTGTAGTGACCTACAATAAAAATGTTGATTGTAGTGACCTACAATAAAAATAATAATATTGATATGACCTACAAACACTTATCTTTTTCTTTTATCCGCGACCCCCGTGTAAGGCTTTGCGACCCCCTGAGGGTCACAACCCACAGGTTGAAAAACACTGCTCTAGACAATAGAGAAACAAAGAGAAAGCGAGTAGCGATAAGCAAAATAAATTTCAAATGGTCATCTTACCATTATCCAGGGCAGAGAGCTGCTGTGTTGTCTTTATATAATATTTACTCTATAACCATATAATATTCCAATTAGAAGTACCATACCTTCCTCCGTCGATTAATATTCAACTTTTATTAATATAAATAAAAATTTTAAAATATTTTAAAAAATAATACGCCTGAAAACTTTGTATAAATTTATGAAAATTTGCCGCCCTTGCCATTTGTAGCCATAGATAAATGCCCAGTTTGCCCTTACGGTACGGCCGGCCCTGTCTATAAATGTGTTGTGCTCTTGTTATCTTCTTTCTTTTTTAATTCTTTCTATCCGTAGACACTAAAAGAGCCTTTTAGCAAGCTCATTATGGTTTCGGCCAAGTCTACATTATGAGTAATCCGATGTAATTTAGATTTTATTTTAAAGAGCCTTTACGAAACATCTCATTATTTGAAAAAAAAAATAAAACATTTGGACTATATTTGTTTTAAAACATATTTATTTTTCATAATTCAAAATTATTCGCAAAATTTAGAAAAATTATAACTGTTGTTTATTATTATGTGTTGATTAAAAATATTCTTGCGAAAAATCTGAAAAGTGTAAATTTGATTTTTTTCCAATAAAACTTTCATTTCTAGGTGGAATATAATTTTCAATATTTGGAATATCTTTAACCACACACGCATCCAGTGCTGATCTGTTCATATGCATCTCTTTGGCTTGAATCCATTGTTCTTTTTTCACGTCATAGCATTCCACGCTAGATACTGTAGTAATTCCATTAAAACCTCCCATAACAAAAATCAAATCTTCTAAAACCTTAATGAGAAACGATAGCTTTATAAAAATTTATACTAGGAATAGGATGAGTTGTCTATTGTACTTACCACCACTGCAAAATTGCTTCTGGCTGTGCTCATATCTTCAAGAATATACCACTTTTGGGTATAGGGATTATATACTTCTCCACTACACAGGCGAGAAATGCCATTGAATCCTCCAAAAACATAAAGATATCCGTTGTAGTTGATGCAACAAACACCACATCTGCGTGTTTTCATGGAAGATATATTAGTCCATTGATTTGTGTCAGGATTATAGAATTCTGCAGAACTTAGAAACTCGTTCCCATTAAAGCCACCAACAATATACACGCTTCCGCTTAATTCGGTAGCACTGGCATCACTTCTTTCATTATTCATCGATGCGATCATCGTCCACTAAAAAATTAATATTACTACTTAGGACTATTTACTATGTATACATTAAAATGCCAACAAAATTTCCACTGACTTGATTTGTATCACAGTTATATCTTTCTGCAGATCTAAGTCTCACTCGTCCGTTAAATCCACCTAAGGCATATATGTGTCTACCTACAGTGGCTACGCTGACATAACATCTAAAATAAATATTTTTCTATCTTGTATTTACCATTAAAAATTCGAAATAACTAAAATTGGGCTGCAATTTGAAAAAAGAAAACTGTAGACCTATTATTTCCCACCGTCATCTGTCTGTCTGTTTTTCCTTAATCTCGAGAACGGAGTTAGATAGATGAAAGACGAGATAGGATATGACTACCTTGGGGACAGGAGGCCCCGATTAACTGTATAGAAAATTCCGATGCAAACTGGAAGTCATGCCATTTCAATTCAAAAATTTCTCCCTGAAAGGTGTTACATAGGTGACTGGCACCACTCTATTGTTAAAGAAAAAGTATGATGTACAGGGGCAAGACACGACTAATTTGAGATGGAGAGCATATACTTTAAATAAAATAAATTAAAGATATGAGTGAAAATTGCAGCCCGCATTGTGACGATGTCACAATAAATAATTGCTCGTTAAGTGATAATTACCTATGTGAATACATTGGTGCAATCTCTCTCCATTCCGATGTCAATATATCAAAACACCGGCACGTATTGAAGAAATCTACTCCATCGTATCCACCAATAATATATATATAGTTATCCATGACGGCGCATCTGTGATATGCCCTGGGTCCAGTAGAATCATTTATTGAAAGCTACAATATACAGTTTATATTACACGCATATATATATTATTGTATATAAAATCAAAATTCTAATATTACTAGTATCCAAGAATCCGTTTTGATATCGTAAGATTCCATGAGGTTTATAGGAATATCTCCATCCCAACCACCAATTACAAAGAGTACTTCACGAGGCAATCTCGGTTTTTGAAGCTGAAGCTTACTTTTACTTCCATGCCCAATTTTCAAATCGAACAAACATCTGATGGCTTCAATGATTATTCGACGACAGTTTCTGTCTTCAAATTTAACATATTTGTTATTTTTAACTTTTGCGATGAAGTACTCCGGATTTATGAGACCAAATCGAACGCAACGCATTAATTGGTTTATATACTTGGAACGATTATCCGGGTCGTGATCGATCCATATTAAAATACCTTCCCAAACAAATTCTTCATGTTTTACATTCAATTCTTCCTTCTTTAAAATCGTTATTATTTCATCTAAAGAAATTTCCAAGTATCTTCGTTCTTTCAGTATATTGGTAAAATTAATCATCAGATACTTGAGAGCTTTCGCTTCCATATCCTGGTAATTATACTGCTTGGCACATTTCCATATTAATATACAATTTTGATCGTTTATATGATCAATAAGAAATATACAACATATATCTACTAATTTACTTATCAGAAATTTATTAGCAACTTTAATTAGTTGGAAAACATTCTGAAAATTGACAGTTTGATGAAAATTGCTTGGCATATAAGCGAAGTCAATAATCTTGTCTAACATGTCTGCAGATATATTTGGAATAATTATCTCTGTTCTTCGTTGAATGTTGATGGGGCTGTTATACAAAGCTTCAAAATAAGGACTGCAAGTCACCATAATTAATCGATGTATCGGGAATTCTCTTCCGTCTTCACTTTTCAAGATGCCATCGCAGACCGATCCGTTCTTTCTCATAACGTATAAAATTTCCATAAGTGTTTAATAATCAATAGAGCGATGTAATGTTAGTGGATTCCTTTTCGGTACCCGCTGTAGGCTACCTGTGAAGGTGGTTGAATCCACAAATTTAGAATTCTGTCTATACGAGGAGTAACAATTCAACCAGAAAACAAATTAATAATAGAAAATCAATTGTTATTTAATTAAATTTTCTAAAAATGTAATATTTAAATCTACACTCGTAACTAAATACGGAAAATTTTAGTTTACGACTAAACTACCAATGTTTGAAATTTAAAAAATGTTTAATATTTTAATTTCATCTACAGTTTAACTTTTCAGATTCTTTCATCTTATAAACAACAACTGTACATTGGATTTTTTAAAACTTTCCGTTAACGTTACTAAGATGGTCTTTTCTCCAGAGCCAACCCTACCATAGGGCGAAAGGAGCAGCCGCTCCAGGCGCTAAGTCCTAGGGAACGCCTCAGTGGTAAAGAAAATTAAAGGGTACAAATTTGGGGCAACCAAGGGCAGTGGCGTAGCGGGCGCCACTCGCAGAGGGGCGCCCAAATGGTCTCCAAGACAAACTATATGTGTTTCTGGAGGGGGCGCCAATAAAATGTCGTGCCCCGAGCGCCAGTTATGTTCGCTACGCTACTGACCAAGGGGGCGCCATAATAGGATCTCGCTCCATCCTAAAACTTGCCTCGGGCCGGCACTGG